TGATCAGTGCGCCAAAAAGCAGCAAAGTTTGCTTGATTTTTGGCAGCCCATTTGAAGGATACTGGAAACATGGTAACGAGTCATGTTAATTGAGGATGGCAACGCCAAGTGTTGTCATAACTGATATGTAATCAAGTTGCAGACAAAAGGGTCAAAGGCTCGTGGTATTTGACTATACATTTTTCTTTGTTGCTTTAAATGCAACATACATATATGTAATCAGTTAATTTGGCTTTTTTATTCTTTCATATTTTATTCTGGACATAATACTTTTAGATAAATATTTCGGACATATTTAAAATTTGTACGACCACATTGACCCTAATCTTTTAAAATTGTGAATCTTCCTTTAAAAATTTATTTTATTATTCCATTAATTCTATACTGGCAAAAAACTTTAAACATTTTCTGACTTTATATTAAATAATAATTCTGATAGTTATAAAATCTTTCAATAAGCTGCTTTTCATTGTCATCAATGACACTTTTTTGTTAAAATCTGAATTCAGTTAAATACAAAAAGTATAGCCATTTACTGCTGCTCAATAATTGTTCTATAAACCATGTTTAATCTTCTCTCTCGCATTACAGCCTGGGAAACATTTCACTCTTTTTAGCCGGCATGAAAAACATTTTCATTTCAACGGGAATACGAGAATTAGAATGCGTAGACATAATAAATTATATTTTTTGACACACAAACCCACAGCCCACACGTATGGGTGTGCGTACGTGTGGCAAACACCTAAATGTAGGCAATAAAATTTCAACAAAATAACCATATGCATAAATATGTTTTAAGTGCTACGTGAATAACGCCCAGAACTCCCTTAAACACGCCCATAATTTATGCAAAAAAACATACATAGAAAAATCATTGTGGGAAAAATTAATATTCAAACAGAACGATGGGTTGGAATCGCCTAACCACTTATCATGCACTCTTCCCTTCTTGCAAGGGCAACCATGAAATATGCAGGACAAACAATTGGGTTTTGGTAAATATCCGGACCAAAATGCAACCAAAAATCGGTCTGCAAAAATCATAGCAAATATATATCATGCCAGCAATCAAACAGTGAATATGCAAATAAAAGTTGATACTTTAATTGCGTAGGATCAAAGGGTTTCATTACTATTCTGTTTTCATAGTTGTAAAAGCTTTAAATGCATGCAATATTTTTCGTGGCAATTATGTGTGAGTTGTGGGCATTGGTTTTGGAGGATTTGTTTTTTAGTTTTTATTTATTCTTGAAAGAAAGATTTTAAAATGTTTAGCACCATTACATACCTGATCACTTTGTGCTGTTTCAGTCACCGAAACATCATTACCAGACATTTTATCTGATTTTAATTACTCAGGTTTCCGCGTCTAACTTTGCATGAAGTTTACTACTTTATGGCTGCTATAAAAAAAATAAATAAAATGGGTTTTATTTATATGCAATTAAATTGGTTTGGTATTTCATTCAGTTTCCAGTTCGGCAATTCTCGTTTTGCATTCCACATTTCTTCGGCATTTTTTCGCATTTATTCTGACACTTTAGCAATGATTTATTGCACACATTTTATTTGCACTTCACATACTTTTCAAAAATGTTCACATCTGTTTTTAAAACGTTTTCTCTTTGTCGTTTATTTTTCTAGGCATTCTAACTGATGCAGGGATTTATAACATTGCACGTTTATTTTTTGGTTATATACATCTATATTTTGTGAATTACTTGTTCAAATCGTTTGTTATGTTATTTATAATTAAGTTTTACTTTTACGGAGGGTTATGTAATAACAGAAATTTTTCCTTGCTGAATATGTTAAATATGTTTTCGTTCTTTTAAGGCCACAGGGACGCGTGTAATTTATCCCAAGAAAATAACTGCTGCCTGTCACTTAATGCAAATTAAACAATTTAAATGAGCAAACAAACGAAACCAAGAAAATCCGAATTGAGAAAGGAGCGAAGACAGACTAAGAAGTTTTTGTGGCAGGCACACAAACACAGACAGCCAAACTGTGCATTGCACATAACTCGTAACTCATACGCCCCGTTGTACAATGAGAATGGCCGCGTTTATAAACGCTGGCTTGCTTGTTTGTTTGTTTGTCGGTTGGTTTGTTTGCCCGCCTGGCTGCGGTTTTCAATTGTCAGTGGCACAGCGAACGAAGAGAGCCCAAGAGCCCAAAAGGAGGAAAACGTTAAAAAAGTGAAAAAGTAAAATAAATAAGAAATACCAAATAAATTGAATTGCGTAGCCGACTATAAAAAGACAGCCAACGTAGGTGAGTGGAGCAAAGCCAACTGGAAGCGAAGATAAAAGCACAGCATCCCCAAGGGGAAAAAATAAAAAAAATAAACAAAAACAGGACAGAACACACAGCCATACAACAAATGTGATAAATGTGCTGCGACCTTTGTGGTAATGTGCATAAAATATATTTCTAAATTGTCAAACGGGAGATAGCGTCCAAAAACTTTGAAGTTGTCGAAAGAGATCAGAACACAAGATGTGATTGTATTTCGTTTATCTGAATTCCATTTGGAGCAGATGCTAAAAGCTTGTCTTTGAATCTGTCTTCAGTCGGTTAAAGCTATTCTAATTTTCAGGCAATACACAATGAAAGCACAAATTGACAATTTTAGAATTAAAAATGAATTGAAATCAAAAGCAATTGAATTATTTCTTCTCAGAAATGGTAGGTAGTTTTCATATCTATATGAATCTTTCAAAAGTCGTCTTTAAAGCTTTTGCCTTTGGTGTCTAATAAACTTGTTTAGCTGGGAATAAATTTATAATGTATCATAAGTTTATATTTGTACGTTAAAAATTCAATATAAAAGATTTACCGAGAACACATCTTCATTTGTTTTTTAAATTTTCCTTGACTAATGTCTTGTTATGTGATCCTATTTTCTGACTTGACAAAATTGTGTGGCTTAAGCAAATAAATATCCCACTTTAAATCTTAACGACTGTCTATCCATTAAGTAACTTAACAACTGACCAAAGCAAACAAGTATTTGACGAAAATGCCCATTTAAGTTTCTAAACTTGCGGTTGAGTTGGAATTTGATGTCCCTAGTGGCGGTCACATCTGCAAGGCTGCCTAAATACATTAAATATTAATGAGTTTAAAAGCGACAAGGAATTTGTTGTCCCTGAATAAGGGATAAGCCACGCTCAACTGACAAATCGCTGGGTTATTGATATAGGAGCTAGGATTACTCACTCTTCATCCGAGTGGTTTCCGTGCGACTCGTCTGCTAATCCAACAGATGCAATGTGCTCGCCGGACTATTTGATTTTTCATTTGTGCATTTGTCAAGTGCGAGTACAAGAAATTGCAAGTGGCAACCGACAGGCGGCGGATAGCCAAACAAACAAACATAGTGGAAAATAGGGTAGGGAATAGGGCAAGAACCAACAGAAGTTTCATCAATTTTACACAATCCACTTAACTTGAAAAGCCAGAGGGCAGTCACTCACAGAAATCGAGAAGGGAAGAGCTCTATTGGGGAGCATTCTCTATCTTTTCCAATTCATTTGAATTTCTGTTGGGGCAAGAAAATGGCAGCTAATTACTAGACGATAGATACTGCTAAAAACCCGATGAAACGTGGCAAAAAACACTTAAACTAAATTTTCAATGGATTTATAGTGATATTTGTATAGATTAGTTGTGATAGCATAGCCATAATTAAAGGTTACACGACAAATGTCCAAAAAAGAGGTGTTCACTGGGAAATTCCTGTCTTTTTACTTCTTGTTCCTTTACAAAATCGGAAACACCCAACTGAACCACTAGTTCATGCAGCATGAGTAATCCCAAAGCCAGTCCCAGCACCTGATTATCCGAATTAGCCAGTAAGCTGTATACACTGCCGATCAATGTGGTAATTCCCAGAATAAAGAATTTAAATGCCGGCCATGGTCTCATTCATCCAGAGGATATCCACTCAGAAAAAAAATGATTTGCAAGGCCAAAAATCATCAAGGATCTAGGAAGTTTTATTAAATCGGCAAAATTCAAAAATTACAAACAATCTAATGCCCATGTCCATAACTGAAGCTCCATAAAACACACTTTTGCTATACTCATTCGGAAAACTTTTAAAGTCCATAGACAGTGGCTCTGATCAGAGAGAAGACTATGGGACGTTTGCCGATTTCATATATAAGTGTTTTTGAATGCCAGTTAGTTCCATAAAGATGGCACATAATAACCACGGATGTTAAAAGAGAATATAAATAACTATAGTTACTGCCCACGGTGACAAAGATCACAGTTGGTAATCCAATAAGAATAAATTCTAGCAGGAATCGACGCGTCGACAAGGGTGGCATGTGCCCACAAATAATCCAAAAAAGGATAAAACCCAACGGGGTGAGCATTATAGCTACAAACACTTTCTATAAATTCACTTGTTTTATATTTCCAAGTCTTCAGATTAATTTCCTCATCGTAGTTTGAATTGGGAAACTCGGTTCTTAAAAACGATACATAAAACGTTTACAATGTCAAATGGATCTATGAATACAATAACTCATGGAAGAATAACAATACCCTTAACGAAAAAGTCTTGCTTTAAATTTTAAAAATTCATTGCGCAAAATGATTTTTTTTTATTATGATCTTTTCTATTTTCCAAAACATTTCAACATTTACCTTTATTAGATTGATATATTGTAAACTCAAAGACAGCTCGATTTATAACTGATTATAGAAATAATTGGTCAATACACGAAAACAAGGTCCATCCTTGTGTGGCGTGTTCTAAAATCTAATAATAAAGATTATAGTGGTAAGAATGTTCGAAAAGTAAACCTTGTTTTGAATTTAATTTAATTGTTTAAAAAAGTTATTGCGTCTTAATTTTGAAAATCTTGTTTTAAATTTTTGTAACTTTTATATTGCGAATTTCGGATCAGTTATTTAACACGGTTTTTCAACACTGTGTTCTTCTGAAAAAAGAGTCACCACAGCATTAGCTGTCAAATTGAATTGAAAGTAAACAGAGAAATGAAAAAAGTCTGATTACAACCTATTCGGAACTCTTTCGATTCACTTGGGCAACTTGGCCACCTCACTTCGACTGGTTTTGTTTCGTTTAACTGAACTTCAAAATGTCTTCTTCCGAAACCGATTTTATTGCCGAGGAGGATGAACCGCCAGGATCCTTCGCTCCGGCGCCAGTGAGTCCCAATCCAAATCTTCAGGCCAGTCAATCGGTGGTGATCTCGCCCTCGGTGTCCATCACTTCGGTGGATGGCAGCCATATATCAGAATCCGAAGACTCCTACGTGGACTGGCAGCCGCACTTTTCGGAGACCGGAATCGCCACCTCGGAAAGGATGGAAGTTGGTGCAATTCCGGAACACTGGCTGTATGGCCTGCGTTCGGTGCCAGCTACTACCAATTTGAGGCCCAGGCGTCGCTGGAACTCTGTGAGCCGCTCGGGTTCGCCAACGGCCTCAACTTCATCGACGTCGACAGCGCCATTCCCTCAGCAGTATTCCAACCTGGACCGGCGACCCCATTGGGGAGATAGCCACTACATAGACAACGAATCCGAACACGTGAATCGGATCTCCGATATCCTGATGGACATGGAGAGTCGGAGCCAAAGGATAGGATCCCGCCGGAGCCGTCAGCGACGCAATCGTCGCATACAGGCACAGGCTCGAGCTATATTTCGGGCTCAACGGTTGTTGAATGGGTCCGCCACCGATGTCGACGACTTCTCCGATCTGGACTCCACGGACCGACTGCCCCGGAACATGGCCCGAGTTCCCCGGCGTGGAAACAGTATCAGCGATTGCAGCCAGTGCAGCAGCGACGATGAACAGGACAAGATCAAGGGCAAAAACAAGCCAACAGTTCCTAGTCATCTGGTCGAATGGTTGTATCCAGTTTAATTTGAAATGGCCTTTTTAGTTTTTTAGTTGTCGAAATGGTTGATAACTATTTTGGTTTAGGCTCCTTATAACTGAGTCTGGTAGTGCATTGGCTGTTAAGAGGCTTCCAATTTAATTAAATCTTAAATGTATATCAACAATTTAAAAGTCAGGTCGTTGAATTTTTTATTGTTCGTATTCAGAAGCTGGGCTTGCCAATCATAGAATATTAAACGCCAAGTTTTTACTGTTCGGCAAACTGTTTCGCTGCCTTCGAACAACACATGGACTAATTAATATCGTCTTGAAATTGCAATTTGGTTCGTGGATTAAAACTTTAAAATCGCTGTCTGTAACACAGGTATTTTCACTACAACTAAATTTAAGTACTTGAAATGTACACCTGTACTTGACTGAATTCCCTTAACTGCTGAAAAGTTCAACTTGTAAACAAAATAAGATCTTAAGTCTCCTAAAATGGATAACAACTCGAAGCTCGAAGCAAGTTGCTTTTAAGCGGCCGCTAAGGGTCCTGCTACTTGTTGAAAGTCTTTAAGGTCTTCTCATCTAGCGGCGAGTTTTTCCTTCATTGTTTTTCCCAGTTTTCCAAGCAGCCGCTACCACTTCATACGGAGAAGTGTTTATATGCATCTGGGGGGCGGGAAGTTGGAAATAATAATGAATTTGCGGCATGCCACACAAACACTTGCTGCGGCCGCAACATGTGCCAGATTTTAGCCCCGGATATCAGCAGTAGCTGCACATGCATATGCTCCGGCCGGAGACCAATCCCACACGGAGAAAGATAGTTCCGAATTACTTTTGAGTACTCAGAAATACTGAAATTGTTACTTAATCCAATTCAATGGTATTAAATAAATGGGGCTATGTAATGTTCTAAATTTAAACATCAATAACTCACTTGCTTTGAGCAATTTTAATATGTATTTCATAAAGAAGTACCCTTTTTATTTTTGCAGTGCCTTCTCAATGGCATCACCATCACCACCCCACTGGCTCATTCTTTAACCCACTGTGCGGCATGTGTGGCAGCTAATATGTTGGCTTGGCAGTGTCGCCTCTTGGAGCCGTTGAAAAATGCACTGACATGTGCCACAGCTGCTGCCTACCCCCAAGGTCCCCCGCCTCCCCCTTCGGCCCCTGTAGATCCCCATTTTCTCATTTTCCCATTTCCACCTCCCCCCTGAAACAAATGCACAGGGCGTGGGCGGTTGCGTGTGCTTTTCAACGGGGGGCGTGTTGATGCGCTAAACAATAGCTATAAAAAGGATTAACTTGCATAACAAAGGAGATTCCAAGGGGCGGAGGACTTGCAGCCGGCAGGGCTTGGCATATAAATTTCAACAACGCAGCAAACCGAACACTCGGCATTGGTCGAGTTTCAAATTTATAGCTCATACTCCTTCGCCCAGTTACCATTTTACCCGTGAGCATATGGTCTCGAATTGCAGCTTGCTCCAAAGTTTTACTATTATAGCTCTTGATATTAGTACTAATCAGATAATACTCCTATGCTTTATTGATGGTTGTAAGTAGCGCTGCATTGTTCAAGCTAGATTTATCGTGTCTTTCGAAAATAACTCCAGGTAACCGCGAACTATTTAAGTGTATATTTCTTTACTTTATAATTTAAAGGAATAGATTTTTGTGGCTTATTTCTCTTGCTCAGAAACTTACAGAAATAATTTACAATTGGCTCATATAAATTATTTGTTATTTTTTTTAAATTAGTGGATAAAAATCTCAAAAGGAGTTTGAATTTAATTCTATGTACGTTTTAAAGTCCATTTAAATAATGTTTTACTCTTCAATTAGAAATGTTAAAAAGGTTAAATTGTTTGTTATATTTAAAATAATTTTAAAAGAAAGGTTTATTTAACTTTTGTAAGGTATGCTGTGACCTAAATCTGTGGTTCTGACGACATAATACGAACTAAGGTTGTGATAAATAAGTCTACGAATATTTCAGCTCAAAAGGTTTCCTATTTTTAATTTTAGATGGTTATAAAATAAAAAGCAAGCAACTTTATTGATTCCAACTTTTTATTCTATCATGATAATAAAATGTCTATTGTCGGATGTTTAACAGTTCGTGGCCCTCTTTAAAGCCCTCCTTAACCCCATTGCACCCTTTAACCCGTTCCCGGACATAGCCCTTTGTCCATCCCTGTGGCGCCTGGAAAAGGAGGACAGCATTTCAGTCAACTGCAACTGCTGCAATTTCTCATTTTAATAAAAATGCAAATGTCTTCTGTTGAAGAAAGTCAAGCTAGCATCACGCTGTCTCTTTCTATTATCGCTATACCACGATTTTCCTTCTCTTTCTCCTGCATCCTTTGCTCATATTAAACGCCAGCAAACTTTTCGATTTTACGGTATAACGAAAACAAAAGCAAGAGCTTTCAAAAAAAAAAAAACAGCCACGGATGCCGTAAGTACGAAAAAAGTACGGAAAGACAAATAAGTTTTCAATAAGGTCCTTAAGAATGTTAAAAGGAATGAAAATAGAGGATTGCACTCAGCTGAAGGTTGAGTAAAACAAAGTGTCAGTTTACAGCTGTCACGACCCGAGGGATATAAGTCGCCTCTCTCGCTCCCTCTCTCCCTGCCTCCCTCCCACTCTTTCAGGTCCTGTTGCTGACTCGCATTTAACGTTGTGCCGCCACGGGGGTACTGCACTTCTTGTCTGCGGTCTGCAGTGGTGAAAATTGGGAAATGTTCCCAAACATATGTGTTTACGTGATGACGATGGTTGTAAAATTCAGCAATCTATAAGCTTTAGAGTAAATGACAAATTAGTGAAATAATTATGTTCTATCGCAAGCACATTATCTCAAAATTTTGATTTAAAAAAATTTGTATTTAAAATAAATGGAAAACTTTACAACAATTTATTCACTTTACAGCCATATTTAATGATTTTATAATGAATTTGTAGTTTTTTTTGTGATGAGCAACAAATATTTAATTTGCTCCTAGTTGTTCTATTACTTAATGGAATCAAACAAAAAGACCTCCTAACGAGGTAAACCAGATGATAATAAACATGTTTGATTCCTTTTAGTTAAAAAATGACTAAGAAGAATTTGTCCTCATCAAATTGGCTTGGCAGGAAACTCTGCTCATTTAACTAAGGACTATAAAGGACTGAATTTCCTGGGAAAAGCTATAAGGTAAAACTCAAAAAATCAAGTCGTAGAACAAACGTTTTTTAGCACAATTAAAATGATTCCAGGATCCTAAAGCCCTGAGTTAATGGTTATCCGAAGACAAGGAAGAGAAAAAATCTTCTTTTTTGAATAAATTTTAAATAATAATAGCCTATTTTACAAATAAAGAAAAAAAATTTTTTTTTAAAATTCCCCAAAATTTAATTAAAAGTCTAGTATTTAAATACCAACTGGTAAAGTTTAGCACCCCTGGCTTGCCTACATAAAAGCTCAAATTTCGAAATTTTAACTATTAACAAATTAATCTTCAAGTCTTGGTACGAACTCTCCTTAGGTAAAGCGATATTTTTCGATCGGTACTTCACTCTTTCTGATCGGATTAACACAGCTGATTTGCAATTCTGCGGCTAAATGTTAGTAGTCGCCTTACCACACTTTCACCTTGCCCACCGTCACCACGTATGGCGTCGTCCACAATAATATAACTAATTTGGTTTTATCTGCTTTTCACTTTATCTGCTTTTCACAAATTGTGGCATTAATAAAAACCATCTAAATGTTTCCGATAATTATTTTAAAGTTATCCGCTTTTAAGAGATTTAATTTTTGTTTTGAAATACTTTGCCAGCACCACCGGCAAAACATCACGTTGCCCACACACATATCAGGCATTGAGCCGTGCGGGCCGGTCTTAATTAATCTAATTGAAATAATGCCAGCGACAGGCGAGAGTCGCACATATGGCCGGCTTACGGGCACTAACAATGGCTTAGGACAATGCCTGCTTCCTACAAAGTAGATCCCAGATGGCAGCGGGATGGGGACCCTGACCAACAAAAGGTTCTTTGTTTTCAGAGAGGTGGCTGCGGGACACGAAGTGCGCACTGCTTTAGATAGCCAAGCTGGAATCTACTTAAATGGGAATCTCGTTGACGGACCCACTTTAGTGGCAGAGGTTAAGGTGAATACTACACACTCGGCTTTACTATTTAATTAAAAATATTTACAATAAACATTTAATCAGCCAAGGACTCTTAGCTCTTTTTTATACCCGTTACTCATTGAGTAAAATGGTATATTGTATTCTTTTTAAAGTATGTAATAGATAGATGAAAGCGTTTCCGACCCTATAAAGTATATACAGATTGATATTATCTTATAATCGATGCTCTTGACTAATGCTTGTTTCTTGTTTCCTTGTTTCAATATTTAATTTGTGAGTCTACTTCAAATTGTAATAATGCATAATGTACAATTGGCTTTTCCACTACTTGTTCTTCTCGTAAAAGATAACAAAATATTTTCAGTCTATCTAAACTTTATTAACACAATGACTCTTTTATAGTCATAAATAGTTTTAGAACACGTAAAATGAATTTGTAATACGAATTACCAATATGAAAGTTCGTCTTCTAAATGCTTTGGATACAACTCACACGTAAAGATTTCAACACACTTTAATTTCAATTATTACTGCATAAAGATGACGAGATAAAAACCGCCAGAATCTTTACGTTTTCGACACGGGAGCTTGAGTTCCAGTTCCTTCGTTCGGTTTGGTTCCTGTCTTAACTGCCGATTCATCCGCCTTGCCCACATATTTTTCCACCGTGGTGAGGACTCTATCGACATTGCTGCCCACGAACTGGATGAGGGTCACTCGGTTCTTGATGATCAGGAACGTGGGCATGCTACTGATCTCGTACTGGATGGCCAGATCCTCGTTTTGATCCACGTCTATCTTGAGGATTATCATGCGTCCGGAGTACTCCGTTGCCAGTTGCTCCAAACGGGGCCCAATCATCGCGCAGGGACCACACCACGTGGCATAGAACTCGACGAGAATATGTTTGTTGGGCCCCGCATCATTGACTAGTTTGTCGTAGGCGCTCTTCGAATCCACAACGATCACCTTCTTGTGCACGGCAGCCATCGGTCTCCTACGAGTTAGCAACTTAACTCCAAATTTTATTCAACAAATTTTCCAACAAACAATTTAGATTTTTCTTTAGTTTTCTTGTGTTACTTTTTAAGAGTAAGTGACAATAGGTTCTTAGCTAGTTGCGAATATATCTTGCTAATGGATGTGTTTCTTGGTGAGCGTATTGTGGCTTGCACCTTTACATTTTGCTGCCATTTTTGTGCTTTTCTTTGGTTGCACTTCTCAACGTGATGTTATATATAGTCCAAACCAGAGCTTAACAACAACTTATTTAAAGCAAATGAAACATTAAAATAAGAAAATACAAAAATTAATAATATTTTTGGATTCTCATAAAAAAGGATAAATAACAAATGTCCACTATTTATTAACCATTAACGGTTAGTAAAAAAGACAAATTATAGGATGTCTCTGGAAGTTTCTAAAGTCTTTGCGTTTTAAGCCATGATGGTAGATTATCGTCAAAGTTTTGTAGTTTTAAAAGTTGTTTAAAAAGGGTATGTGTGGCTTATTTTCCATTTTCTTGGCATTTTTCATAGTGTTGGCAGCTTGTTTGTCTTGTCTTGCATTTGTCACAAATTAAGACAAATGCACCGTGGTTTCTTGAGTGTGTTTAAGTCGCACCCGCCCCTTTCAGCGTTGGTTGCTACATGTTTGCTTGCCACAATGGGGGCGTTATCTCTAGAGTGTGTTTACCTAAGCCTTTCTCTTACTGTCTTGTTGCTTTCATTTCATGCTCTTTTTGTTTTCCACTTTTTTACTCTGTGGGATTGTGTTCACGTGGCTGTTTGCGGTCTAAGGCCGCTTCGAGTGTATCTTTCAGTTGACTCTGAAATTCTTTTGGCTGGGCTCTTTAAGCTCTTGGCACTTGACAATGCGATAGTCGTTGATAATCCGGTGGCTGTATCTGGTTCCACTGAGCAAAAATCATTTTTTTAATGAAAATAAACTTTCTATGTCAAATATATGTGAATTTAATCATTGAATAAACGATGAAACAAACGTTTATACACTTTAGAAAGAATTACTCATATCAAAGTTAATATTGGGAAGTTAACTGTTGCACTCTACAACAATATTTTTCGCAGTGTTGCACTGGTTTTTCGTCTGCGTGTTCGACTTGCATAACCTAATGAGCGGCGCTTAGCGACGAAACGAAATGGAATGAAACGGAAATGGTGCCGCGTGTGCAGCACCGGTGCAGTATGTTGTGCAATCAGTTTAGTATCCGGTAGTCGCAAGGATTTTCGGTCCCGCCAGGGAAAGTGCTGACCTCGTCCCGCCGTCGAAAGCCGCGATTGCGAAAGGTAATAAAGTGACGAGCATGGGAATAAGGCAAGCATCCAGCGAACACATTTCGCCGCCATATATTCGTGTTTTTGATGGAGCACCAGACGAGTGGAATAAGTCACGTAGCTGGCAAGACAAATTGCTTCAAGTGCACGGAACACACTCGTGGACTTTCAGTTTCCTCGGGCTAGTCGGTTATGCGGTTAGACAGTTATTTTTATTGCGCATACGCCATGTGGATGGCATGCGGAATAAATACATATATGTACGCGTTTTGCGGTCAACTAGAAATAGGGTCGAAATGGGGCTAGGATTATTGTCACTCTTGTCGCAAATCAAATTTCGGGTGACTCTGAGCCAAAAGATCAGACATTCGTGATGGATTTCTTCTGGCTTTAGTGCGAATAATATTACGTTGATGGTTATAGCTGGTAATGTATCTTACTCCCAGCTCTGGACCATGAAACCGCCAGGAAATCTGAGAAATTTGTCCGTCATAGTGTGAAGTTTTCAGATAAACTCAGAAATTCCAACTATCTGCCCCCCTAAGTATGCTATTTTCAGGCTTTCTGCAGTTTAGCTTTGGCTTTCTGCTGTTGTTCTGCAGGTCAGCAGATGCTTGTGTGCGTTTCAGGCCACATAATTGGCTTTTGTTTTTCGGAACAACAACAGAATTGGTGTTTTAGAGCACGTTTAAGCATGTCAATGCCAGATGCTGGCAGACAAAATGATGAACAATCCGAACAAAGGCCACAGAAGACAGAAGACAAGCCCAAATACCGAACACCAACATCAACACCAAAACGGCAATTTCAGTTAACAAGTTTATGAGCTCCGCCAGGCGACAATGAAAGTCTCGTGCATTTGGATTTTTGAGTGTGTCGTTGGTTGGGCCAAAGGCCCCTACTTCCTGCCACCCTTATTTCCGTTTCCTGTTTGGCCACACTGGGGAAAAAACTATTACCCAACATTGGGGATTTGACATGGAACTTCTTAAATCTTAATTAAGACCTTCACAATAAAGACCTCGCTTGTTAGCTTACTTCCAATTTTTAAAACCCATTATACTTGGCATAAGTTGATATCTTATGAAAAACAATGCTAATAATTACATTTAAATTCCAGCTTAAGTTTTCAACTTAAGTGGCTTAAAAAACGATGTTAAATTCAGTTATATTTCCTGAAAAATCATGAGCTTAAAGTCTTTATGTTGTTATATCCAGTATATACTTATCTCGTAATTAGGAAAAAGCCATAGCAAGGAGACAAACAACCTTTGTTTCTGTGTAGCATTGCACATTCATTTGCCTGCCAGGACGAACACAATACGGTTCTGCCTGCCACAAATGCCTTTTGTCAACGAAAGTCTTTCGAAAACACAAGCAGATTTTATTTGCTGCCAAAAATTTTGATGCTCGAATCGAAGCTGGAGATTTTCCCCATTTCCCAGGCGCTCAGCTCCGGATTTTCCCCGGCTCCTGTTGTCCTGGTTCTCGTGCCGGGGGTCCTGCGTTCGGGCTCACCCTTAACCACATGACAGTTGGCATTTGGCGGTGCTGAGCCTTGTAATGAGCTTGGGCGTGGGGAAGGAGGTCCTTTTAGGGTCCTTTGGCGGAGGATAAACAGGAGTAACAGGAGGCGTTGGCGCATAAACAGGACTACGAGCACGCCCCTCTGCTTGAAGCATTCACAGTTTTTACAAGCTGCTAATGTGGACCTGACTTTTGTTGGTTTTTCTGTTCGTCGCAGCCGTGTAAATGGGATTTGCATTCGCCTGCTGAATTTGGCAGGCAGAAGTCCTTTTATGTTCGGGCTTTGGCGAGAATCCGCAAATTGGATGGCTGCAACTCATTGGAATTGCTTCATTCGGGCGCAGAATTGGCGGGGTACTTATCGACCCTATGAACTTTGGGCTGACTGTACTTAGCGGCAGGATGGTAGGTTTATTTTATTATTGAGCTTACCCGCAGGATTTTCAGAGAGCTGGCTCTTAGCATTATAAATGTGAAGCTATTTGTAACTATGTTACAAATTGTAGCTAAATTATAAGTTTTTAGCAAGTATAGAGAAAGTTTAGGATTCTGTATAGTTAATTATTTGTAGATTTTTAAATGTCTTAAATTTAAAAATGTTGTACTCTAAAAAAAATGTAAACAGTGATAATTTTCTGTTTGCCTTTTAATATCTAAAACCCAGTTTCCGCATTTAATCAATTGACTTTCAATTGTTAGCCATTGCCATTGGTAGTCGACTTCATACGTGACTGTACTTGACTCAGATCGTTCTCGTTCTTTGCAAGAGTTGCGCCATAATTAATCACTTTAAAATGCAAATATCTTGCCAATACTTAGCCGACAGCTTGCAAAATGGTTCAATAAACTAAATGCCACATCCAGCAAACTTCAGATCCCTAAGCAGCTTTTCTCGGGGCCCCCAACTCTTTTCAATCCCCTTAACCCTCGACTCGGGCAAAGTTTCAATCAATCAAATGCCATGATAGAAATCATCAGCAGCAGGCAGTGAGCAAAAAGGATAAAGGCAGTTGAGTAACTCCCAACAGAGCTCACGAGTGGCATGAAAACCACATGTGCCTTTACATTTTAAGCCCCATATGGCGGAAGGAGTAGCTCTTTTCCCGAACGGGTTGCCCTTGTCGTGGTCCTGTTACCACTCCTGCTCCTGGCCTGCTTATTTTCCTGACTGCCTAACAAGCTGCGTCAACAAACTAAACCACTTTGAAATTAACACGTTACATTGACATTGACAGCTTTATGCGTGGCATGCCAAGTGTCGCCAAACTAGGAACTGGAACAGGAGCACGCTAAAGAATCAGAGCCACACTCAAAAAATATAAGAATTAGTTTTAAATGATATGTTACACAGGAGAAAATGGCCAATGCAATTCAAAATTGAGCACTAAGAGATAAAATCTCATTATACTTATAAGTTCAATCTAACAATTAATTAGGCACCAGCGAAATTTGAGATTCTTCAGTAATAATAAAAACCATTTGATCAAAATACAAAATAAATTATTTAAATTATTTAAAAATTCAAAGTACATCAAGTATATATACATTTATGTAATTAGCAATAAATTTGTTATATATTTATATATTTATTATCAAACTCCACATGATTATATTTGATATATATATATTATTATATATAACAGACTTAGTTAAATCTGATTAACGTAACATTACCATGTGTTTCCGTAACATTTAATAAATAAAAGTTCAAGCAAAACTTCGATAAATGCATGCAGATATATGAAGCGGAGAAATCGGAAGACGGTTTTTCTAAGTGTACTACCAGAGCTGCTCCATGATGAGGTAGTGGCAAGCTGTCACTTACCGAAGTATCGCTGAATGCTGGGCGGGAAGAATCCTGGAAAGGGACTCGCACAAAAGCGGAAGTCGTGCAAAAAAGGCAATTTCCGTTGGGCGGAGTGGGCAGGCGCAGATATGTCAAACTGGCGAAAAAGGGGGCGGTGCAGATGCCACCCAAATCGCGGTGGCATCTCTGGCACAGGAATTACCAATTCAAATGTCAGGCTATGGCAAAACACTTCATGCGGAATTAAATTCAGTGTCAATTGGTTTGCCGCCTAACGAGAATTGTTCGCGGATGCTGTTTGAATTCGAATGTAAAAAGCTGTTTGCCAGCAGCCTTAACCCATTAGTTACCCGGCAAGGTTAAGGGATCGAGGGCCTTGAGAACCCTTTAAGTCTGCCACGCAATTGTTTCCCTCCATTTGTTTTTTCCACAACCGACCCAAACAATTTTTCAACTTCCTCCATTCTTTTCACTTAACTTTTTTTCTTAATTTCGGTGCGTGCTTGAACTGACCC